GGGTTCATTTTATTCTTGTACCATTTGTAAAAGATAAGCACGAAGCCATCTGTAAGCAGAATAAGTTGACAGCCCACTCATTTCTCCTGCATACTCCTCCTGCCATAATATCCATACATCAAAACCATTCAGATGATTCATTATTTTTTGAAAGATATAACAGTAGAAATAACCCTGGTTAATGATCTTCTGATAACAAATATCAGAGGAGATATTGAACAGAGGGATGTATGATCATCAAAGGCATTTTCCCTTGGAGTACATACACCTTTGGAGAATATGGACAAGAATGGGCAGACATGGGTGGGTTGTGATCTCCAACATTCGAGGAACCTTCTGAATCAATGAGATTATGGGTTCATTGGAATATTTTTAGTGTATATGTATTTATACACACACACACACACACACACCCCTGTTCTCAAGGAACTTATAACCTCAGAGAAGAGAAAACATGCCCAAATAACTCTCTTTACAACGGAGAGTGAAATCTGGTCAGGCAAAATAGTATTAAGAAATTTGATGGAGCAATCACTTTCATGTAGGGGACAGGCAGAGGGAAGGGGGCTGGCTGGGGAGTAATGAACAACTTCTCTGGTTGAATTTCAAACCTTCTTCTTACTGGGCAGGGGTGGGGCTGCCTGTTATCTCTGTAACACAATGAAGCCATACAGCATGACCTAATTGAAGTCAGATAGAATGTGCTTAACTTTTCACCTCTGCACCTGCAGAATTTTTACACCAGACCAGAGAGAATTTGAGCATGGCTCAATAAAACTGCTGCTATGTTGGGCAAGATGCCAGCTGGACTGTTTCAGAAGTTTGCCTACCTAGTTCCCCTTCCTCAAAAAACGAGCCATCCAGGGCTTAACTTAGAAAAGGAGTTGTTATTTAAAAACAAAAACAAAAACCCTCTTTCTAGGGTCTGATGTGGACAAGTTTTCCCTGTAATTGTAATACTTCACTCCCCCCAAAATTGAAAAATTCTTCTCAGTACTCAAAGGCAATTCTCCTTCTTGGTTTGCTTGGACATAGAAGATCATGGATCATTTCAGCAGGAAAGTATATTTGACCATGGGTTGGAGAGTGAGGAGGGGGAGAAGGCATCCACAGGAGGACTTAGTGGGATATTTGCATCTGTTTACAAATGGCTTTGTCCTTGTCTTTTCTCCTATGAATGGTACAAGGATAAAAATACACCACAATTGAATCATGCTAGACATCTGTTAACACAGTGCCCACAATGTCTATGAGATGAAAGGGACCTCAGAGGTCACTGAGCCCAGTGAGGAGCTCAGGACTCATTACAATGAAGAGTCCACAGAAGCCTGTTCCCTTTCTATACAGATTTGCTTATTAGGAAGTTTTTATAGGGTCTAGAAGGGACTCCAGAAGTCACCTAAGTCCTGCCCCATTATTTTACATATGAGGAAACTGAGGCCCAAAGGGTTAAATGAGTTACCAAGACTCATTTATCACAACACAATGGGATTTGAACCCAATTTTCCTGACTCCAAAATCTAGCACTCCAAGAACTACAATGTGACCTGGAGTAAGTTATTTAAAAAACTCTCTTCAACCTAATTAGAAGAGTTTTAACTCCAAGACAGAGGTTCCTAGTGAAGGATCAGATGAAATAATTCTGTGAAAAATACTTTAAACCCTATAAAAACAAAGTATGATCATTTTAATTGTTCTTAATTTTCTCTTATTTTGAGTTTCTCAAAATAGTATGTGTACATGTATATGTATAGTGCATGTGCGCATGTGTGTGTGTGTGTGTGTGTGTGTGTGTGTATTTTAAATCTGAGTCAAACAATAAATCAATGTGTCAGGCACTGTGGTAGAGACAAGAGACATAGATAGAGAGAGCCAGAGAAAGAAAGACAGAGACAGAAAGGAAGAAAGAGAGAAAGCATGAAGAATAAAGAGTGAGGGAGGGAGAGACAGAGAAACAGAATAAAAGAAAGAGAGAAATAGAGAGAGAGTAAAAGACAGAGAGACAGGAAAAGAGGGAGTGAGAATGAGGGAGACAGAGAGGAAGGAGACAGAGGAGATAGAGAGAGGAAGAGATAAACAGAAACAGAGAAACAATGAGACAGAGAAACACACAGAAAGAGTGAAAAACAGAGAGACAAAGAGAGGGAGGGAGTCAGAGTGAGAGAGATAGAGACAAAGAGAAAAAGACAGAGAGAGGAACACAGAGGCCGAGAGACAGAGACAAACATAGAGACAGAGATACACACATACACACACACACACACACACACACACACACACACACACACCCTTTTCTCAAGGAACTGACATTTTATCTGGGAGTCTAATAGCTTTAAATGACTCAAAGATGAGGCAAGAGACATCCCAACTCATACTGAAACTCGTTATTTTGTTATTGTTACTGCAATTATTTACAGTCAGAGAATTCCTGAAGTGAAACTGGTAGCCATATTTTCCACTTATCTTTGGCATAGAAGTTTCTTGTTCCTGCCATATAAGTCCTGCTATTCAAGCCAATCCTTCACTCATTCACCTAACAAGAAGAATTTATTAACCTGCTTTCTGTGAAAGGTGTTACTCAGGGTGCTGAGAGTACAAAGATACACACGAAATAGCCCCTTCCCAGAGCAATCAACTTTATAGTACAATTTCCCTTTGGAGGGTTGATACACAAGAAGCAAAGGCACTTACAGGTCTGTCTTTTTTTGGTTAGGGATTCTGTCTAAGACTGAATTCACTTCATAAACAGTGAAATAATCTTGGAAAACAAGCCGGCCAACCTAATGAGAGCCAAGCCATTTAACGGCATGGGAGAGAGCTTGTTTTAATGAAGGTGGTAAAAAGGCAGGTAAAAAAGAGACCAGGCAGGGACAGTCTGGTAAGGATGAACCAGATGAACTCAGTAACCAGAAAGATAACACTAGAATGAAGATGGGAAACACGGGGGAGACAAGAGACAGATCACTACACAAATGGTTGTTAAGGAATCTCTTACTCAGAAATGTAGAAGGGGGAAAAAATCATCATTACCTTTGGGGAAAAAAAATCAAGGAAAATCACATACCATCGACAGAGTGCATCAGGGACTGATCTTCCCCTCCAAAATGAATGGAGGGAGAAAGGCGCCAACCCACACCCACCTAATTGTGCTTCTGATCACTTACTGAGGAGCAGTGTTGTAATGAGATGAGTACAAGACCCACTGGGTTCAAATATGGGCTCTATCACTGGTTGGATCACTTTATCTGTGTCACTGAAATGGAGGTCTCTCTAAGCATTGGTTTCCTCATTCGTCAAATGGGGATAATAACAACAACTCGAGTTACCTACCTCAAAGTGTTGCTATAAAGAAAAGTGCTACTCGTGATGGAAAATGCTGTCCACATCCAAAGAAAGAATTATGGATTTCAATGCAGACTGAAGCATACTATTTGCTATTCTTTTTTCTCTTCTGTTGAGTTCTGTTTCCTCTTTCTGGTGGTTCCTCCTATTGGTTCTAATTCTTACTTACAATATCACCAATGTGAAAATACATTTAATAGGAATGTATATGTATAGCCTATGTCAGATTGTGCGCCATATTGGGGAGGGTGATGGGGAGGAAGAGGAAGAAAAATTTTAAGCTCAAAAGCGTATGGAAGTGATTGTTGATAAATCAAAATAAATTAATAAAAAAAAGTGCTACATAAATGAGTTATCATTCCTCCCAATTATCTCATAATGATCATCATTTCCCTACTCCTACAGGAATTTACCCGCCCTACGGGAGAAATGAAAATACATCTATCTGTTAGGTAAAAATGAGAGAATCAGAACACGTGAGAAGTGAATAAGCATTTCTATAGCATCTACTATTTGCCAGGCGCTGTGCAAATGGCTTTTTTTAATTAAAAAAAAAATATGGGGATCTGTGTCTCATTTGATCCTCACAACCACCATGCAAGATAGGTACCCTTATTGTCTCCATATTACAGTTAAGGAAACTGAGACAAACAGAGGTTAAAGTGACTTGCCCAGAGTCACGTAGCCAGGAAGTATCTGGGCCAAATTTGAACTCAGGTCTTCCTGGCTCCGGGCTGAGCACTCTATCCACTGCACCACCTTAGACTAGAGAGCTACTGAGGTTTTGATTTACGATCCTATAATTCTAAATTGTCCCAGAGAGATGGCCCAGGATGGTTCTTTGTGGGTGGCCTTAAGAGAAGCAGTCATAAGAAATGACTTTCTCACTACCATCCAATTTGTTGAAGACCATTTTGGTGTTCAGTTAATTAGGAAATTTGGAATTAGTAAATAAGGAAATTTGACTTCTGCTTTGACTTTTGGAAGTCTTCCATGACCTACCAGCCCAGGTTATCTGTCAAAATCTAACAGCTGTGTCTCAATTTTTTCATCCATAAGATAAGCAAAATGCTCAACCCTTTGCTTGGTACAAGACCAACAGGTGATGTGGTGACAAAACAGGAGTATTCTTCTTTTTATCTTATTCTCAAGTGAAACAACACCATTGAACAGGCACCTAGACAAAGTGCAATTGAAAATAGTTCCTCTGGTGATATGGAAAGTGCAAAAGAAGTGGGTTTGAGTACTGAAATTCTCTGAGCCTTGAGACTTCCAATTTTAAAATAGAGATAATAATTCTTGACCTATGAACAAAATACTTAAACCTTGAAGAATTATGTAATTGTACATGACTGATATATTAATCCACCCTCTTCAGACCACACATATGGTGTATTTTGTTCAGTTCTGGGCACCATGTTTTAGGAAGGACATAAATTAGGCCACACAGGACTCCACCTGGGATGGTAAGAGCATTCAAAAATTATGCCATATGAAGATGGGTAGAAGGAAATGGGAATATTTGTATTGGGAAGAGATCATGTTACTTCAAGTCTCTCATTTCACTAAGTCAGATCTCTCCACCCTGGGGCTGGATGCATGTACTGTCCAGGCTTACATGTCATGTATGTAAAAATGCAGTGTCAAAACCATTTTACCTATGATGTTTATCGTGCTATCCACTTCGTTTTTTATAGTTGAAGTCAGGACCGCGTATTCAGGAGAAAGCTCACTTATTCCATTACTAAGCCCAAAAGATGACTCAACTGGTTCTTGCTAGGAAGAAGAAAAAAAGAGAAAAAAAAGAGTTGAGAACATGTCCTTGAGCTCTCCCCCACCCCATTTTCTTAGCTCAAATTCTACTATCTGCCAGATTTCCTTAATATTAGGATTGTGTTAGCCCAGTCAATGCTGTTCCTTGCCTCCATAAGTCAGTTTGGATTGGATGGACCCGAGTGAAGAGGGCATGACTAGCTTTCTCACCTTTCCTCATTTACGTTCAAACTGTGAAATTATATTAGTGCCCACTTACAGGGGCAAAAATTGTCTTCTGTAGTTAAGAACTCTCAGTCTAAGCAGAAATACATAAGTCAGAAAGACTGAGGAAGGCCCATTGTAATCCAAGGCACCATTTCTTCTAAAATAGAATAACCACTCACATTTAGGTAGCCCCTTGGGATTTAATAAAGTTTACAACACATTTTTTTCCCACAATAGCCCTAGGAAGTGGGTCCTGCAAGGATTATTATTACTGCTGATTTACAGATGTGGAAACACACTCAGGCAGGCTTAGCTATTTGCCCAGGATTATCCAGTTAAACAAATATGGACTTACATCTTCCAACTCTTAGCCCCTAATAATATTAAGTTACAGTCATATAACACTTTAAAGTCTGACAAGGGCTTCATCTCTCACAAAAATCTCTTGAGGCGGATAGAAGAAGTAGTTATTATTTCCATTTTACAGACAAGGAAACAAACTAGGAGAGAAACCTAGCTATTACCACAATGTGTGGAACATAGTAGGCACTTAATAAATGTTTATTGGCTCAGAAATTGGCTTGCCCAAGGTTGGCAGAAATAGAATCAAGATTCAAATTCAGGACTTCAGACTCTCAAGTCCAGTAACCCTCTAACACTCTGCATTATCAATGACATGCCATCGTTCTAAGAGTTTACACTATGCAAACTTGTGCTAAGAAAGGGCCCTGTCTCCATCTATGATCCCAAAAGTAGAAAATAATCTAAATGCAGGATTATTTCTCTGAGATGGGATTTGTGTTCTCTGAGGCCATTTCTAAGTTTGGTGCATCACTGTAAGTATCTGGGAAATATAACATGGGCCAATCATTCTTCAAATGCAAAGTAGACTTGGAAGGAGGAAAATCCCAATGCCACTAGACCTTATAAAAATAAGTCCTCGAGGGCCATACCTAAAATTACGTCAATACTTCTAAGACTCCATGATTTCATTTGTATGGTTACTCCATCTGCCTACTCATATTATAACCCCTCCATACCTCAGTAGACAGTCATTATGAGTTGCCAGACCAAACAATTCATCACTTGGGGGTCAAGTTTCCGGTAATGAGGAGAAAGGAAGGGAAAGTGGAGGAAAAATTAGATGAAAAAATCCTTATTCTTGAGGTGCTTAGATTCTAATGGGGAGAGTGCATATAAGAATATGCAGAATAAATATAAAGAAAAGAAATACAAATTCATTCACCACCAGGTTTGGGAGGCAAAGCAAGGTCAGGAAAGGCTTAAAACGGAAGATGATACCTGAGTGGAGTCTTGAAGAAAGGAAGGGATCCTAGGAGACAGGGATGAGGAAAGACGTGTATTCCAGGCATGGAGGATGGCCAGTGCAAAGTCGCAGAGACAAGGGAAGGAGCGATGTATGTGAGGAACAGAGATAAAGCCAGTTTGGCTAAAAAGGAGCCATTACAGGGATTTATGAAGTATTTCATGTTTATTTAAACTGTCAGTTAAAGCAACAGGGAAGGGAGAAGAAACACGAAAGAAAAATGAAAGAAAGAGGAAGGAAAAGGAGAGTCATGAGTCTGGAAAGACACTGTGACCTAACAGGAAGAGATTGACCATAGTCATACATATCTTCTGCCCAACTGACCTTAGGTTTATGTATCTGTATACATGGTACTTTCTCTCATGGACTGTGTCGTCCTCGGGGGAAAGGACTGGCTCATTTGTGTCTTTGTATCTTCTGTGCCTAGCATGGTGCTTTGCAGGTAGTATATACTGAAGAAATGTTCGGTAAATTAAATTAAATTGAAAGAAAACAGAGCCAATGATCAAAAGACCTGAGTTATAGTTTCTGTTCTGTCACTTACTAGTTCTGTGACCTTTGACAAGCCACTTAGCTTCTGAGCCTCAGCCTCCTCACACATAAAATGCAAGTGTTAATAACCATCCAACCTGTCTGTCATGAAATGAAGTAAGAAAGATGTGAAAGTGGATCCAATTTGAAGATCTTACCTGCTCTTATGGCTTCCACTCTCATCTCTATGTAAATGACTCCAAATTCTCTGTCTACTTTCTTCCAAACTCTTTCTTTTTTTTCAAACATTCATTGAAAAAATTTTTTCAGTTCCAAATTCCCTCCCTTCCTCCAGCTTCTCTCCCTCACCCATTGAGAAAGCAAGCAATAAGATATTTATCACTTCTGCCTTCTTTCTGCTTCTTTCCAAATGAATATCACCTCAAGCTCAACATACTTAGAACTGAAGTTGCCATCTTTTCAACCTAATGGCCTTATCTCTGCTCTTCACACACAACACGCCATCTGCCATCTCAAAGTCTATGCACTGGCTATCCGCCATGCTTGGTATGTGCTCCTTCCTCATCCCTGCCTGCCTAGAATCTTGTCTTTCCTTCAAAATTCAGTTCAAGCCCTCTGCACAAAGACTTTCCCAAGCCCCCTTAACCACTCTTGCTTTTCTTCCCAAACTACTACCTTGTATTGAACAACTCAGTATTTACTCTGCATATACTTGTAGGTTTTATGTACTTCTTATCTCCCCTTAGAATATTTAGAATACAGTTAGAATGTTAGAATATAGTTAGAATCTAAACTCCTCAGGAGTAGGGATTGATTCCTTCATTCTTTTTATTTGTCATCCCAGTGCCCAGCACCTTGTCTGTCACACAATAGGTGGTTAACAAATGCTTGTTGATTGAACAATGGATTGAGAGCCTTTCAGCCAGCTCGCCTGAAGCCAATTTGCCCCCCCCCAACCTGTCCTATATACTACCATGAGACTAAGTGACCTCAAATAAATCTCTGTCCAAAAGCATTCAATGACTTCCTGTTTCATTCAGGCAAAGAACCTAAAAATTGGAAGGTAGCTAGCAAGTTGTCGGGTTTAGTTTTTCCCAATGCACCCATTCCCTTCACAGCACTCCTGACCACTGATCTCCACCTGGCTGGTGGTGTGTCACATAACCTGTGACATTAATGTTTTTGTTTCTTTTTTTTCATCTGTACTCCAATGATCTCTCTATCAGGCCACTGCCCTCAGGTCCCTCTGCAAGCTTTTACCATCCCGAGACATTTCTTTTGAACAAGATATCTATCTCGCAGAGTCAAGAGCATCATCCCACCAAATCTCAATGATAATTATAAGACACTATTTAACACCTTTAGTTCACATTTAAAGTTCCTGACTTTGATACATGGTGGTTGGGCATCCCCAAGTAACTTCCAAAGGACTGTAACTTGCAAAAGCAGATGATGATCTGCACTGGGAGAGGGAGTCAGTCCTTCATTGGGGGGTTCCCTATGCTGATGAAATCACAGATCTCACATAAAAAAAATTTTTTTAAGCATCCTAAAGGGAAAAAAAAAACTGAAAAAAATTCAACTAGGTATCAGGAGGCCTAGTCAAGCTCAGCCAGTAATCTACAGAGTAATTTTGAGCAAATTCCAAAACTAGGCCTCAGTGCCCTTATCTGTACAATTTAAAAATTGCATTAGATAACCCTGGCTGACTCTCACATTTATAGCTAAAAGGTGTAACCTTGCTCAGACATTAAGCTCATCACAAGATCTTTAAGGGATATGTGGCCATTGGAAATTGCAAGAGGCTTAAAGCGTCATGCCTTCAGTGCCTGGGTCCATATTTTCATTTCAGCCTAATGATTTGTTTATTCAGTTGGTGACTGTCATCTTCATCGGGGCTCTCAATACAGCAGAATTCTATCTATGGGTCCAGAAACACACTGGTCATTATCAGAAAGAAGCAGGTTGTTAATCAGAATATAGTGTTGCCAAGCTTTCCTGCTAGTAACAGTAGGAAGGACAGGAAGGAGGCAAAGGAACTCAAAATTCGAAAGTTCGGGGGGGAAGGAGGGTGTTATTTTTCTTTTCTACAATGAATCCATAACTTAAAATAGTTTATTAATAGGTCCAAAATTCTGCTGTCAGCTTTAAATAAGCAAGGGATATGTGTGTATGTTCAGATCTACATTTGTCTACTTTAAAAAACATTTTTATGATACTTTGAGGTTTACAAAACACTTTCCTTCATAACAATTCTGTGATACTGGTAGTACAAGTATTATTATGCCCATTTTCTTTTTTTTTCTTTTTTTTTTCTTTTTAGGCACTTGGGGTTAAGTGACTTGCCCAGGGTCACACAGCTAGTAAGTGTCAAATGTTTGGTCTGAGGCCGGATTTGAACTCAGGTACTCCTGACTTCAGGGCCGGTGCTCTATGCACTGCACCACCTAGCTGCCCCCATTATGCCCATTTTAAAGATGAGGAAAATTGACGCTCAGAGAAACAGAGTGATTCATCCGCAGTCTAGAGCCAGAACGTGAACCCACATTTCCTGATTCATGAAAAAACCCCATAAATGCAAATGCACTATAGACATTCCAATACTTGTGTTCATGACACAGACTCATTAAAATGATCGTCACATTGTTCTTATATTTTTAATACCCAAAAATTACCTTAATGTGCTTGACTCTGTCTTCTTTATCTGTCTTTGTTTTCTTTCCTGTAGTGACAAAAGGTAATTTTATTATAATCCAGGAAGGATGCCAGTACAAACATTTCCCTCATGCTGAACAGGTTTGGTAGTTCTCAGCGGACCAGATTCTTTCATCCACATGGAGGGAGATTAAATAAAGGTGATTTTTAAGTCTGCGAGTTAAGTGCAGAAGGTGTTCTGTATTTGCAATGGCTATGGAAGAAAGCTACGGTTTACACATTGAGGCTGAGGGCAGCTATTTAAGGGGTCCCCCGGTAGCCCTTTCTCTACCTTTCTTAGAAGGCCTTTCAGATAAGGGCAGCATCCTATAGACCCTGAAGGCATTGTTCCCTTTCTTTATACTTTTATCCTTCACTTCTTCAATGTCAGGCAAGGAGTTCATAGCACATCGGAAATTCGCTTTCCATGTTTTTGGATCCGGTTTATCTACTCCTGGTTGATGCTTTCCTAATGTGGTAGCAAAGGGGAAAGAAACACAAACAAAAATTAAATCATCAATAATAGTGAGTCTTTATAGAGACTTTTAAGGTTTGCAAAGCACATTTTATATAGAGAGATTATTTTGCTGGATCCTCACAACAACCCTGTGAGGTAGGCACTATTGTATTTCCATTTTACGTATGAGGAAACTGAAGACGAGAAAAATGAATGACTTGCCTAGGGTCACACTGCTAGTAAGTATTGAAGGGGTGGGGTGGGATTTGAATTCAGGTCTTCCTGACTTCAAGCCCACCATTTTATCCACTACACCACCTAGCTGCCTACATATGACTGTCCTGGGATTGTAACCAATCAGGAATGAATAAGATGTGTGAAATTTCTGATAATTTCTTTTTAAAATCCAAGTTAAACTCAATGTCATTGGCCAGGGTGGATGACCTTTCTGACAGACAATTATTGACCATGCCCAGGGCACTTCAGCACTGGAATCTATAATCTATAATCTATGTGAAGTCTCTTTATAAGGGCACTTTATAAGGGCTAAATGTAACATTCCTTCTGGGTTATAAAGCATATGCCCCATGTAACTCTGAGGTGTCTGGGATTCTATCAATGCATTATTCACAGATATTTGCACGAGATCAAAATCCAAGATATTTTGTAATTTTTCATGATAATGGGGAACATAGCATAGCATCCCCCTGGTCACACACCCCAGAAAATAAAGGGTGTTTTCATACCTGTGTGAATTGCCCAGTTCCTAAAGAGAGGAGCATCTTTCTCAACATCCCACCCATGTCGTGCAGCATGCATCCAAGGGATCTGAAAAATCTTCTTCTCCTGGAAATTAAAGTAAAGGAGAACTACAGCCATCAAGTTTGGTCCACAATTTGAACACTATCCTAAAATCATAACTGCTTAACTCTCTGTTTTTCTGAGAATCTCTTACTGTTTTTCTCTGGATTCCTCCTAGCAACCCAAACACTCCTCCATATTGCTCTAAACACATGTGAGGCCCAGAACACATATTGCAAGGACATTTCAGATCGATGCATAACGAATGCATGTCGGACAGAGTGGAACGCATTTCAAAGTCAAATGCAAATGGGTTTTTGATTCTTTCATGTTCAGTATTAACTATGTTTCCTTTCCTTTCCTCTAGCACTCATCACTGTAAGATGACCAAAATTTCAATTTATTTCATCAGTTTGTCCCCAGAACCTGTAGAAAATCTGGCATGGGACCCAACTAAGCTCGATCATTCCAAGAGCACCTAGAGATGAAAACCAAAAGAAGGACAACGAATAGAAATGAAATAGACTATCTCTGCCATTACTTCTCTGATAATCTATTCTCATGACTGGTGATAGTGGATCAGTCCCATCTGGACTATAAAATCTCAGCATCTACTGGGCAGTGAGAGGAAGAACTCAAGAAAATGAGTCAGGAAGAACAACTGAGGAATATATAGAGAAACATACATACACACACACACACATACATACATACATACATACATACATCAGTGCTGGAAGTGACACAATTTTAAAGGCACCCAGGGGATCTACTTTCAAAACTATCTCAAAGAGAGAAAGAATACAAAAGAATGGAAAAGATCACAGATGATACAAATTGCCAAACAAACCGAGAAGAAATAAGTAAACACTGATATATGTGCCTACTTTCTCATCTCTACAAAATCTTTATGAGTCTTTTCACCCAATACAGCAGAAAGAGTGCTAGATTCAGCCTCAAAGGACTTGTTTCAAATTGTGGCTCTTCCAATGACTAGTTGTGTGAGTTGGGATAATTTTTCACCTGTTTCTTCATCTGCAAAATGAGTGCATTGGACTAAATGATATCTGAGGTTTCATCCCGCTCTAAAACTATGAGCCCACATGTTTGATGAAAAGATGAGAAAGGAGTAAGCAGGATTCTATAAATGATTCTCTAAAATGGACCAGAGGATAATAATTTGTTTCTGTTCAGTCATTTTTCAATCATGTCCGACTCTTCATGATCTCATTTGAGGTTTTCTTTCTTGCTTTCTTTCTTTTTTGTGAGGCAATTGGGGTTAAGTGACTTGCTTGGCTAGTAAGTGTCAAGTATCTGAGGCCAGATTTGAGCTCAGGTCCTCCTGACTCCAAGGCTGGAGCTCTTTCTACTGCACCACCTAGCTGCTCCTATTTGGGGTTTTCTTGACAAAGATACTGGAGTAGTTTGCTATTTCCTTCTCCAGCTTGTTTTATGGATAAGGAAACTGAGGCAAACAGAGGTAAGTGACAAGCCCAGACTCACACAGCTGAGTGCCTAAGGCCAGATTTGAACTGAGGAAGATGAGTATTCCTGACTTCAGGACCAGCTCTCTATCCACTGCACCACCTAGCTGCCCAAGGATATAAAATTTCAGGCTAACAGGAATTTGGAGATTTATTTAATCTAATGCTTCATTTTACAGATGAAGAAACTGAGGCCCAGGGAGCCTAAATGATTTTTCCCTAGGTCACAGAGGCAGTGAGAATTTATGAAGTAATTCATATGAAGTCATATAAGATGTGCTTTCCCAAATAACAGAGACCAGGGAAGAGGGTGAAGGTGTAAGGGATGCAGAAGCACCTACTTATTGCAAGACAAATTAGCCTTCAAAAGATTGCAATAATAATATACCAAACAAAATTAAATTGGACAGGAACACAAATGAAAACTTCAAGTTCCATTTTTAAAAAATGCAAAAGTACAAAAGAAGAGACTGGTTTTCTATCCCTTCCTCCCTCCCTGAGACAGTAAGCAATCAAATATAGGTTATACATATTCAATTATGTAAAACATTTCCATATTAGTCATTTTTTGTGCAAGAAGACTCAAATAAAAGAAAAAAATCAAAGAAAGAAAGTGTAAAATATCATGCTTTAGTCTGTATTCAGTTAATATCAGTTCTTTCTCTGGAGGCAGATAGTATGCTTCATCAGCAGTCCTTTGGGATTGTCTTGGATCATTGTATTGCTCAGAATAGCTAAGTTGTTCACAGTTCTTCCAACAATATGGCTGTTACTGTGTACAACGTTCTCCCAGTTATGTTCACTTCACTCAGCATCAGTTCATGTAAGTCTTTCCAGGCTTTTCTGAAATCAGCCTGCTCATCATTTCTTACAGCAAAATAATATTCCATTACAATCAAACACCACAGCTTGTTTAGCCATTCCCCAGTTGATGGGCATCCCTTTGATTTCCAATTCTTAGCCACCACAAAAAAAGCTGCTATAAATATTTTTGAACAAATAGGTCTTTTTCTCTTTTTTGAATGTCTTTAGGATACAGACAATGGTATTGCTGGGTCAAAGGGAATACACAGTTTTATAGCCTAGTTCCAAATTGCTCTGCAGAAAGGTTGGATCAGTTCACAACTCTACCAGCAGTGCATTACTGGCCCAGTTTTCCCACAAGGAAAGTTTTAATTAACTGTAGTCTCCATGATGTGTCTACTAGGAGTAGCTTATATAAACTTTATGTTTCCTTTAAAGTAACCTTGTGTCCGGGTCAAAGGAGTTAATAAGATCATCTGATTTAGAGCTGAAAGAGGCTTTGAAGATCACTGAATCCAAACCATCATTTTACAGAGGAAACTGGGGCAAGTTCACCAGGCTCAAACCTACTGTGCCTCTATCAGACAACATGGAGCCATTATATTATGAAAATGACCTCAACTGATCTGCCCTTTCCCTTTAAATTTTCACAACAACATTTATTATTTTTCATTTTAGTGGAGAAAATTTGCTGTAATGAGAATTCATGTATAGCTCATTCCTTCTGTTCTAAAATGTATATGGAAATGCTTTGTTTCATTTGATATTTGTTTTGATTTTTTAATTAAATGATTTTTTAAAAAAATTCATTGCTGAGTAATTTCCCCTATGTGCCTCAAATAGATTATGGACCTATAATCATCCTGGGATATACTCCAAAATTGCTTTCAGAATAGCAGCTGCCCATGTTCCCTCTTTTCCTATCTCACCTTTAACATACACAGGAGGTGCCGCATCAATGATGTTCAAACCACACCAACCAAAGCCTTAATTAATATTGGAATCTAAGTAGGATCTCACTGCCTCCAGACCTCCATAAGACAAAGGAAGCGACCCTTCCATTATTTATCAACCTTGACTATTCAACCACTATAACATCTAATGTTTGGATCTCAGCTTTTAGAGATGGGGGTAGAGGGAAGAAGCAGGTTAGTTATGAGATAGTATTAACAGTAGTAGGGAAAAAAACACAAGGGTTTTACAGCCATATGACTGAGAGATGGAAATTTGAATATGAGATTTTGTTCATTTGGTTATCAAAAAAAAGCATATGACTTGGTAGAACAAAATACCATGTTCCATAAATGTCTCATTCATCAAGGTGTGACTGGGGCACATGTTAAGATCATGGAAGATCTTAAGGGATTCTTTCACAGAGATAATTGTGTTCAATGAGACTGCGATTAGCAGTATCTTACATAGCATTGACTTGACAGAGGTGTCCCCACTGCCAGAGAGGCATTCTGGCAAGGTTATCTGAATACTCTGATTTCTGGCCCGTGTTGTGGCCAAAAACACCAAGCCCCCAAAGATGACAGGACTCCATCAGTGACATCCGCACTTTCAAAAATGATTATCTGAGCAACAGGATTCTAGATTTAGGGCTGGAAGGGATCTGAGAGACCATCGAATCCAGCCTTCTCATGTTTTAGATGAAACCAAATAGATGAAAAATTAATAGGGCCAAGATTATGAGGTTTATCTGACTAGCATGCTTTCTTTTGTGTCACTATCAGGGACAGTAGCTTTTGTTGGTTTTTTTGTTTTCATTTTTTTTAACCAGACCTGAAATTTCATGCATTTAGGAAGCTCTTGATCAGAAACGATGTTTATTAATATAAATCAGCCCCTTCTCTTCAGCTTATGGATTTTGAGAATAGCTTGGACCACTTAGCAATTAGGGCAGTTGGGTTGTGCAGTGGATATTGGAGTCAGGAGGACCTGAGTTCAAATCTGGCCTCAGACACTTACCCTGTTTGCCTCACTTTTCTCATCTGTAAGATGACCTGCAGAAGGAAATGACAAACGACTCTTTGCTAAAAAAAAAAAATGCCAAATGAGGTCACAAAGAGTTAGACACAACTAACTGACTAAATAATAACAACTACTTGGTAATTAAGTGCCTTGTCCAGGGTCACACAACCAGTATGTGTCAAAGTCTTAGGTAAGCTCATTATCTATTATTACACCATAGCTGCCTGCTATGAATCCCACAGTATGCTCATGAAATCCTATAATGAAGTTAAGTAGTGGAAAGGGCACAGAGGTCTTTTACTCAGATGACTTGGGTTCCAATCTCCATTTTGATGTTTACTAGCTATATAACCTCAGAATAATCTGTAAAATGGGGACATAAAATTTTCGTTACCTATCCCACAGGAAAACTATCTGTAAATTTCAAAACTCCATAAAAAATGTGTTACTATTATTATTGTTCAAAGAATACATAGACTAGATAGTATAATATTTCTGAGAAGACTTCATCTATTTTTCATGATACAATGAGTAAAGCCCTGGATTTGGAGTCAGAACACGTTGATATAAATTCTACCACTGATATCAATTATCTGTGTAAAATTAGGCGAGTAACTTAAGGTTGCTTAGACTTAGTTTCCTCAACTGTAAAATGAAGAGGCCATATTACATGGTTTCCAAGATGTTTTCCGGCTGCAAATTGATGATCACCCAGGACTGTGTACCTTGGAACGCAATAAGAATTCCAAACTTGTTTGAGCCCATGGAACTAGGCGTGGAGAT